ACATGAGGCTGCCCACCAACGAGTGAAAACGGCGCCTCTCCTCTTCACCAACGCTCTCCTTCTCTGGTCCCTTCACACACTTGAACCTGAAGGGAAAGGGTGTAGCCACATGGCCTTCACTCTGCCCAAAGTTGGCAGCTAATGCCTCCAGGTACTTCCGTTGATGCCCCCGCATGCACCGGTTCTCCACATCTCGTTTGATGTGGAGCCCGAGGTAGAAGCTCACGTCACCAAGGGCCTTGCACTTGAATTTGTCTTGAAGTTTCAGCATCACCTTCTTCACAAGATCAGAGGAGGGTGAGAAAATGAGGATGTCATCCACATAAACCACCATGAAACTCCTCTGCTCCCCCTCGCCAAGCATGAACAAGGAATGATCGGCGGATGAGGGAGTGAACCCGATCTCCTCCAAGACTTCACGCAGCTTCAAGTACCACTGCCTAGGGGCTTGCTTGAGCCCATAGAGTGCCTTCTTCAGTTTCCACACTCTGCCACTACCATCATGAAACCCCTCTGGCTGCGCCATGAAAATCTCTTCTTCGAGAATGCCGTTGAGGAACGCGGTTGCACCACCCATCCTTTGATGGTAGCACCCGCGAGTAGGGTTCTCCGTGTCGTCGGCTTCACCACAGGAGCAAACAACTCCTTATAGTCCACCTTCTCCTTCTGCTGGTACCACTTGGCCACAAGCCTAGACTTGTAGCGCTCAATTTTGCCGTCGGCATCGGACTTGATCTTGAAGAGCCACTTGGACGAATCGCCTTACGCCCCTCCGGTAGCTCCACCAATTCCCACGTGCCATTCTCCTCAATGCTCTTCAGCTCACTCTCCATTGTCTTCTTCCACTCCTCAGCATCACTACTCTCCAAGGCCTCCTTGAGAGTTGCTGGTTCTCCCGGCATCTCCACCGGAGAGAAGAACGCGAAGGCACACTCCTCATAGTCACTCTCCTCGTCATCTCCAACTATATGTGCCGCTCCGGCCAGAGCTGACTTGGCTGGCCTTCCCAATGCATCATAGGTCAGCCTATTAGGGGCTTGGATTCTCCTCTTGCCCCTTCCTTCCTCCTCAGCTGCAGGGACATGAAGGCTCTCATGGCGTTGCTGCGGGGTGACTAGGATCCGTGGAGCACTCGTAGTGCGAGAAGGAAGTGTCGGTGCATGCTCGCTCACTTGCTGCACCTCCTCCTCTTCTTCATCTGCATCCTTGGCCTCCTCTCCCCCATTCACAAGGGAAGATTGCCTTGTGGTGGTGCTGCTGCTCAGCTCCAAGGGCAGCTCCACATGCTCCAAACCGGAACTCTTCACCTCCCCAAACCGCATGCCTTTCTTGGCCTCATTCTCCGCCTTCCAATCCTTGTACATCAGATTCTCCATGAATTTGCAGTCCCTGCTCACCAAGAATTTCTTGGTGAATGGGTCCCAAAGAAGCCACCCCTTGCTGTTTTGAGCCATGCCCAAGTGCACAGCCCATATCGCATTGGCTCTGAGCTTGTTGTGCCGAAGATGCATAGGCACGAGCGCCATGCACATGCACCCAAACACCCGAAGCATATCCACCTTTGGCTTCCTTCCAGTCCACTCCACATAGGGCACCCTTTTGTCTGCTCCCACATGAGTCAAAGCTCTGTTCTTGGCCACACACGCACTCCGCACCGCATCAGGCCAGAAATAGTCGGGTAGCCCGGCTTCAATGAGCAACCCACGCGCCGTCTCCGTGATTGTCCGGTTCGCTTGCTCGGCGATGCCGTTCATTGCAGGAGAGTATGGCATGGTAAGGGAGTGCCTTATGCCATTCTTCTTCAGCCACAATGAGAACTCCTTGCTCAAGAACTCTCCCCCTTGATCAGTGCGAATTGCCTTCACTAACCGGTCTTGTTGCTGCTCCACCATCGGCAACCAATCGGTCTTCACCGTTTCAGCCACGTCACTCTTCTTGGACAGCACGTACACCCAAGTCATGCGAATGTAGACGTCCACAATGGTGAGGAAGTACTCAGCTCCAGCAGCTCCAAGCTTCAGGGGGCCCACCACGTCCATCGCCACCTCATCAAGTGGTGCCTTAGCCGTTGCCTCCAAACTAGAAAACGGGTAACGGGTGAACTTGGCTTGCATGCACGTCGGGCAGCCAAGTACCTCATCGGGCTCCCCTTCACACGTATGCCAGCAACCATCTCATTCTTCACTAGCTGCTGCAAGATGGGCAGGGCCACATGTCTCATTCGCCGATGCAAGAAGAGCCAATCACACTCCCCCGTAGCCGAAGTCCGATTGGAGAATGCCGCACTCGCAATAGTGCCCCACATGTTCCCTCCATACTCCTCCTCCACAGCTGCCTTGGGGTTCTCCTCATCCTTGTGCTGCTTCTTGGATGCTGCACCACTCTCCTTGTGTTCACCAAGCTTGCAGGTCCCTCCAAGATTGCACTTCTTGGACTTAATCTCCTTAGCGCGACCGTTCGCGCCATCGCCGCTACTAACCACTTCACCCTTGGTGCTGATGCTTGCTGCCACTTGTCTCTCCTTAGGCATGGGGACCACAGGGATCTGCCACAACTCGTTGTAGACATCCCTATCCTCGTGAAGGTCCCAAAGAACCCGCTCGCCAAGCCTCCCGGTGTAGGTCTTACCTCCCTTCGAGCTCGTGTCCATGCCGGCCTTTTGCAACCGCCGCACGGAAATCAGGTTGGCAGCAAGGTTGGGCACCCAAAGCACGTTCTTGAGGCCCACCTTCTTCCCATCAGCACCCTTGAACATGGCCTTGCCCATGCCTTTCACCTCTGCTCGCTACCCCAAAGCCGATGTCACATGCTTCACCAGTGACGGCTCAAGTTCGGTGAGCAAGTCCGCACGAGGTGTCATGCTATAGGTAGCGCCGCTATCGATCACCCAATAGTCCAGGGAGTGTAGGGTGACCTTCCCCACAGCTGCTGGCTCCTCAAAGCCTTCATCCTTCTCTGGACAAGCCGGTGCTTGCGTGGACACAAAGAAGAATTGACCCGAAAAGCGATCGTCCCTCGACTCGCTCTAGTTGCCGACACACTTTATACTTGCAGCACCACCTCCGCGACCGCCACGGCCTCCACGGCCTCTTCCTCTCCCTCCTCCTGCTCCTCTACCCTCTTGGCCTTGAGCAGGGGTCCATCCATCAGGGAGCTTGTAGCAATCGCGCCACATGTGTCCGTTCTTGTGGAAATAGTGGCACTCGCCGTCGAATCGGCCGCGACCGCGTCCGTAGCTCTTGTCGTCGCTGCCGTATCCGCCACTCCCGCGTCCTCCGTTGAAGTTGCTGCCTCCAAACCTTCCTCCTCCTCGTCCTCTGCCCCTTCCACAACCATATCCCCGGCCGATGCTTGCTGCCCCGGCGCCATCCGACCCGCCAACTCACGGCGGCGGAAATCCTCTTGAAGGATCGCTCGCTTCACGTCTTCAAGCGAGAGGCGGGGCAAGTCACGATTGAGGTTGATGATGAGCAAGGCCCATGACTCTGGGAGCAAGGCCAGCAACTTGGTCTTCTTTTGCAGCTCACTATAGTTCAAATCAGCTCCCTCAAGCCGCGTCAATAAGTCGAAGAATTTCTGCACCCCTTCTTCAACCGCTTCGTCTTCTTCAATTCGTAGTGCCGTCATTTGCCGTTCCAACACCACCGCTAACGCCGCTGTTGCAGGAGCATGTACACCCTTGAGAGCAGCCCATGCCTTTGGTCCCTTCTCTGGTTCACGCTGGAATGGCTTGATGTGACGGATTTGGCTGCTCCCCAACGCTTGCTCAAGTAGGAGATAGCCTTGTGCGCTCTTCCGCACCCACAGGCTCTTCTCTGGGTCGTTCTCGGGGCGCTTCTCTGTTCCTTCCATCACCTCCAGCAGGTCATAGTGGTCAAAGATGTTCTCCATCTTGAATGACCATTCAGCGAAATTGTCACCGTTGAACTTGTCAAGCCCAAACACCCTAGGCTCATCCCTAGGTGGGCCAAGACTTGGTTGCATGGGAGACATGGTGGGATCATGGGGTTGGCCTAGAGCTTGGACTTCTCCACTGCCACCAGCACCTCTGCCACCCCTTTCCTCGGGTCCATCCATTGTCGAAATTCCTTCAAGGGGCTCTGATACTACTTTTTATAGTCACAATAGGCTCCAATGTGCCTAAAACGAAAGATAGAGTGCACAGTCAGATTTCTGCACAACTGCTTTAAACGTTAATAGCGATCTGGTCACATCTCAAAATGATCTGATTGAAATTGGATCTAGAGCGTCTTAACGTTGCCTAAAATAGGCATTTTAGATTGCACGATTTCATGAAGGACTAACGACACAGCGTCGGTTTGAACGAACGGCACTATGGCAGCCACTATAGTCTTAGAACACAAATTAGGAAGAGTTACGAGTTGGAATGACTCCTAGCCTCTACAAACCCCTAAAGCCGAGGTATAGTGATTTGGAACACTGCGACACTGTCCCCAACCATGAAGGGCCTCGAAACTACTCTCCACAAGGGCCTACACCAAGAGAAATGTTACACTACACATTGTAATGTAACTATTCTCACTATCTTGAAGTTTACCCTTTTGGAGAGCTTCGAAATCACTTGAATATTGAAACCATGGCTCTGGTTCTTCAAGATAAATTCTTCCTTGAGTTCTTGGAAGTCTGCTGCGCACACCTGCGACACGCCGAATGTTCCACACACGACAAAATAGAAAACCGCACACGACACGCGAACGACGACGTGACACACGACTAGCGATAACTCGCTATTGACTCGACACACACATTCAAAATCATGCCTCATCATTCACACACTATTGTAAGCATAAAATATGTATTATCTCATGCCCTCATACCATTCCATGCACACACGCATGCACGCACACGGACAACAAGCCGAATGCAAACCGTAGGGTTGCACCAACACTTATCAGCCGCCCCCTGGAACCACACCCCCTCCCCCCCTTCCTTCCTCCAAACCCTTCCCCACCCACGGTAGTCCCTGCAAGACCTTCACAATGCGGCCATACCTCCCCCCACCCCCCCTCCCCACCACTTCCCCCCCACAGCAGCAGCCGTGGGAGGGGAGAGGCGGGGCAGAAGGTGGTGCTGCAGTTCCTCATGGCGGCCACCCCTTCCACACCACCTCCCCCCCCACAGCCGCAGTCGCAAAAGTGAAGGCGACAGGGGAGAGGGGAGGGATGGAGGTACAGGAGGCAAGGCAGCTGTTTCTGGTGGGTCCTTTGTGGAGAGCGAGGTTCGTGTGGGCCGCGGGTGGAAAACGGGCTACGGGCGGGGTACTGATGGTGCGGGCGACGGTTTGACAAGGTGCAGGTGATGAGATGACAGGGAGTGGGTGGCTGGCGGGTCCATTGGCGAGGTCGCTGGCGGGTCCATTGGCGAGCTCGCTGGCGGGCCCGTCGGCGGGTTCGTCGGCGGGCATGTTGACTCGCGCGCTGGCGGGTCCATCGGCGGGCTTGCTGATGCACGCGCTGGCGGGTCCGCCAATGGACTTGCTGACGAGCGCGCTGGCGGGTCCGCCGGTGGGTTTGCTAACGCGCGCGCTGGCGGGTCCATTGGCGGGTCCGTCGGCGATTTTGCTGGCGAGCCCGCTGGCAAGCAGAAATTGACAAACTGACCTACGGGCAGAGCAACGCGACAGGCGCATCTTCACGAGGCGCACCACGGCGGAAGCTAACGGCGGGCCCCTTAAAAAAAAAGGTCCTAGGAGGGACCACTCTAATAACATGTCAACAAACGAACTTCACTGGTAGCTAGGTTTAATTAGTGCCTAGGCTTAGAAGCCTAGGCAAGGGTATCAAGGGTAGCATGAGCGAAGGATGGGCAAAGAGTAGTTTCAGTAATAGCAAGTGATACAAGATATAGTCAAGAAACATGACACAAGAGGTGCACCACGAACAGGGTTTGTATAACTACACTAAAGCTAAAGCTATAGGCAGTTATATATTTATATTGTCGGAATATAATTACATGCATTATATTATAACTGCCTGTAGTGTAGACTTAATGTAGTTTGTAAACTTGTTTGGTGGTGCACCTCTCTCTTTTTCTTGCATATATGTTTCCAACTTTCTATAGTGAACCCCATCCTTTCTCGACTCTCTTCTCTTGCTTGCCTAAACTCTCTCGACATCCATGCCTAGTCTCTACCCTAGCATGGTTCCTAGTCTCACACTATAGTTATGATTCTGACATGTTATCAGAGTGAGGTTCTACCTAGGACCTGATTTCATTGGCCCACCCTTCACGTCCGCTAATGTGCCGTTCTGCTACCCGTCACACGCCCCGGGCGCCCGTTGGTTTTCTGCCTGTTGTGCGCCCCGGGCGCGCGCGTCGATTTTCAGACCGTCGCGCGCCCCGGGCGTGCGACGCTTTCGTTCCCATCGTGCGCCCGTGGCGCACGACGGTTTACTGCTCGTCGTGCGACCTGCTGTCGCCCACGCAGCCCCTTCACTCCCCCCTTCTCCTCCATCCCCCTGCTGGTCGTGCAGCAGGGGGGGAGGGTATGGGGGTGGCGGGCGTGGCGAACGACGGTGTCCTGCCCGTCGCTCGCCCTACTGTCGCCCGCGCGGCTCCTACACCGCCCCCCCCCTCCCCGCCCCCCCCCCCCCCCCCCTTCTTCTCCATCCCCCTGCTGCGCGTGCAGCAGGGGGGGGAGGGTATGGGGGTGGCGGGGGTGGCAAAAGACGGTGTCCTGACCGTCGCGCACCCTGCTGTCGCCCGAGCAGCTTCTACACCGCCCCCCCCCCCCCCCCCCCCCCTTTTTCTCCTCCATCCCCCTGCTGCGCGTGCAGCAGTGGGGGGAGGGTATGGGGGTGGCGGGTGTGAGTAGTCAGCCGCCCACCACCTCCTCCTCTCTCTCCCTGCTGCACTTGATGTTGTGTTGGGAGAGGGGGGGGGGCTTGGAGGTTAAGGGGGTGGCAGGAAGGGATCTGCAGCACCAGCCCCCCCGCCCCCCCCCCCTGTTCCTCTAAACCCCTGCTGCGGGTGCAGCAGTGGGGGGGAGGGGATCTACAGCACCAGCCCCCCCGCCCCACCCCCTTCTCCTCCATCCCCCTGCTGCAGGTGCAGCAGTGGGGGGGAGGGGATCTGCAGCACCAGCCCCCCCCCCCCCCCCTGTTCCTCCATCCCCCTGCTGCGGGTGCAGCAGTGGGGAGAAGGGGATCTACAGCACCAGCCCCCCCGCCCCCCCCCCCCTTCTCCTCCATCTCCCTGCTGCGGGTGCAGCAGTGGGGGGGAGGGTATGGGGGTGGCGGGTGTGAGTGAACTGTTGCCACCTCTCCTCCTCTCTCTCCTACTGCTGCACATGCCGCTGTGGGGGGGGGGAGGGTGTGGGGGAGATGAGGGAGTGGCAGTAGGGATGCGGAGGGGTGTGAAAGGGAGGTTTGGGGAAATGGGGGAAGGTGAAGGGGGGTGAACGCTGTGAAGCTAGCAGCTCCAGTCGCCCGTGAGACCGTTGCGCAAGTTGCCCGTGAGCCCGTTGCTCCTGTCGCCCGTGAGTCAGTTGCTCCTGCCGCTCGCTTAGCCGCGGAGCCAGTTACTCCAGTTGCCCGTGTGCCAATCGCTCCATTTGCCAGTGTGCCAGTTGCTCCAGTTGCCCGTGTGCCAGCAGCTTCAGCTGCCACCCACCACCTCCTCTCCTCTCATGGTCCCTCCTCCTCTTCACTTGCCCTCTCCTTCCTCCGCTGCGCCTGGTGTACCCGTTCAGGGGGTGTTCTGCACATGGTTCTTCACTGCAGGCAGTTAGGGGGTGTGTCGGAATATGATTACATGCATTATATTATAACTGCCTGTAGTGTAGACTTAATGTAGTTTGTAAACTTGTTTGGTGGTGCACCTCTCTCTTTTCCTTGCATATATGTTTCCAACTTTCTATAGTGAAACCCATCCTTTCTCGACTCTCTTCTCTTGCTTGCCTAAACTCTCTCGACATCCATGCCTAGTCTCTACCCTAGCATGGTTCCTAGTCTCACACTATAGTTACGATTGTGACATATATATATGAAATATATAATGCGAAAGACTAGAGTCTTGCATTCCTGGTGGATGCATTTCGGCTGAGAGCAATAAATCTGCTGAATATGTATCTGTGTCTTTGGGTGACTGCGAGTGATGGAGCACATGGGGATGGGATTCGTGTACCGGGACTGCGCCTTGTTTGTGGTGCATGATTAGGTTTTGAGATTCATGCTTGCTGTGTTTAGAGGTGATGGCGGCATGTTTTGTTTCTTAAGGTGTGCGTTGCAATGTGTATCACAGCGCTTTATAGAAGACCGCATTGTGTGTGCCTTTTAATGCGTACGAGAAGTCACACATTACATGGGGCAGCAGTTGAATTATGGATCTATTGCTCATGTGGGTATTTTAACCATGCGTGTCGCATAAAACGCCAATCGTGTACCGTGTATGGTGTGGGGCGCTTACCATTAGCACAAAGCATGGTGGATCATTGATTTGTCGCCCATGAGATTGGAAGGGAACGTGGACGTGCGTTGATGAGAGCGTGGTGCGCCCAATCTCAGACGTGTAACTGTTGGTGTTTGTAGGCCTTCCGGCATGAAGACGTCTGTTGATTGTCATTACGATCAACAATGCTGATGGTATTTCAGTGCTTTCCTGTGCTATGCGTGGCGTGACGGGACGTGGCGGGATGGCCGTCGTAGATTGAAACAGCGCGGAACGGCTGGTGGCCATTTGAGTGGTAGACACCTCGTGGCGAGGGATTGGGCTACCAGTCATGGTTCGGTACGACTAGCGAACATAAGAGTACGAGCGGTCGAAAGAGTTGAACCGTACGCCACGTGGACGCGTCGGTAGGTGCTTAGGTGCGTTTATATGACGTGTGTGTAGCTTTTATTAATCAGCATCGCGTGGCGTGCGATATTGTGGAGTAGTGATGTTTTCGTTGCGCGTAGGCGTGACCTCAAGGGCGACAATCAGGTGGTTGGTGATGTGACATCATGGGTGTTTTCATGTGTCTTTTATGTGACTTCTACGCAACATGGGATGTGATCATCTGACTTTTCATCCAGCACATTTGACCTTGACGTAAAACTGCCGAGGAATGAGTCACAGAAATGTGACATTTCACATGTTTTTTTGTGACATTCCGGCCCTTCCTTTTTCGTGATGAGATGCGTTGAGGTGTGGTGTGGTTTTGGGCTGAAGTTCTTAGCCTCAATACCAACCAGCCATTGTTGTTTAGTTTTTAGAACTTCTTGTCTTGCTCCTTCAAAAAGGAGGGAGGTTTTAGCTCCCAAGCAATGTCGTGTTTTTTTGTTGCTTTTATTGTCCATCAACCGTAACCCCCCTCCCTGGCTGGGTGCTGCCTTCACTTTGTTGAAACATGGAGGTACTGTTTTACCGTGTGATCCATCACAAGTTGTCACTTACGTTTAGTCACTCCATTACTCGTCCCGTCAAACAAGTTCTAGGAATTCTCTATTTGGAATGAAATAATTGGGTCATTCGTAAAATGCGGGAGTATTTCACGCAGCTTTAAGTCAACAGAACTCAACAGAAGTCAAGAGTACAGCACAAGTGGACATGGGGACCTGTGAGGGTTGGATGGTACATTCAAGTATCTAGCTCCCAAGGAAATCTTGACCAGCTTGAATTCACTTGACCAGTAGAAGCAGGCATGTGGCTTCAGAGAGTGGACACTTGACAGGCTAGCAGTGCGTCCTGTGAATCCACTTCCAGGAGGCCAGTGGCAGACAAATGCAATACCCTCTTGCTGCACTGCTGGCAATACTGGCATGGCAAGCAAGGTGCCAGCAGAAACTCCCCCAAGTAATGCCCGGAGGTGGTCCCTGATGCTGCGTGGCGCAGATGCAACCTGCTCCATGTTGGGACAAAGGAGGGGGTGCCCTGCTGTGCACCACATCAGGAACGTGCCAACCCTGCGACCATCTCCCCTACACTCACTTCCCCTCCAGCACAACCAGCAGCAGCGCACTGAGAAAGGAAGCACTGTTGGCTTAGGGTCCCCCTGTGCATGGCGAAGCTTAGAGAGTTTCGGGTCAAAGAAGTGGAGAGGCCTCGGGGGGCAAAGGCGAGGTGCAGCACAGCCCGGGTGAAAGGTACGGCCTGGGTGAGAGGCACGGCCTAGGTGAAAGGCACGGCCTGGGTGAAAGGCACGGCTCGAATGAGTGCCACGACTTGAATGACGGGCGGCTGCCCAGCGTACAGCAGCAGCATGGTCCACATCGGAGCTGAACTCATCCCTGCGCAGCTCCGTCAGACCTCCCACCCGGCATACTGTGGGACGATGCAGCCCTGACAGCAGACAAGTGGTTGAGGGAGAACATATTCATTTGACTGCGGAAAGTGCAATTTGATGTAGCCGAGGGGAGATGGGTGGGGGAAGCACGGGGGGGGGGGGGGGGGGGAGCAGGGGAGATGGGTGTTGACAGCATGGTGCGTTGACTGGGATAAATCCCCGACAGCAGAGGGGCAGGGGGGAGGGGTGTTGCCAGCATGAGTTGAGAGTGCAAAATGGGGGTCCATGGCCCTTCGGGGGAGGGTGTCAAAACTATATGTTTATACATTGTTAGGCTATAGTGGTGCTAGCCTTAGGGGGTACAGCATTCTAGGGTTTCATACATGTACTCCCAT